AGATGCCTTTTAAAAAACAAGTTTACATCATATTCTTATGCAGGCCAGTGCTGTGTGTGAGGTAATTTAAGGTGGTTCTGACAAGTGTCCTCGGCATCTTCATATCCGGTCACATGGGCGGCAAGCCACTCCCATCCAGTCACATGGGCAGCAAGCCACTCCCACAAAGGAGGCCACACCCACAGAGTAGGTTGGAACAATTTTTGAAACCCACCACTAATGGATGGAGTCACAGAAGCAGTCGGCGTGAGCTTCAGTGGACTCCAGTGGATGGTAGAGGACAGGAAGGCCTGGAGGAACGTTGTCCATGGGGTCACGATGGGTCGGACATGACTTTGCAACTAACAATAACATGTAATTGGCAGGGGTTGGACTAGAAGACCTCCAAGGTCCCTTCCAACTCTGCTATTGTATTATTGTATTGCTTGATACCAGGTCAGATTCTGGAGCAGAAATCAAGGCTGCTGGCAGAGACCTCTGCAATTCTGACATGTAATCTTTCCATAAAAGCCTTTCTAAGCATCTCCTTTTGAGAGCCATTAGAATTGGTGACCTTCTTCCCTTAAGAATAAACACACACAAAAATTTAAGGTTGATTCCTCTCAACAAAACACAATTTATTTGGCATCTAGATGGAATGTCTCTCACAGCATCTTGGAAAAAAATAATAAAGATTAGCGTCCCCCACCCCAAAAAAACCCCTACCCTTCTCCACTCCTTCCCCCCCCCGAAATAAAAACATTTTTTTTAAAAAAAATCAAAATATTAGAACACAAAAATGTCCCAGGAACCGACTTATTACAGTATCAAATTTCGTTTTTGCACCCCGTCCCCATGAAATATCAAAATCTTAATTTTTTTCCCTCTTCCCCCTCTTTATTTTATTTTATTTTATTGTACACACACATGCCACAGTTCAATTCAGCCACAAACCGACAAACCACAAGACTGGCAAATTCAGCCGAAAATGTCTTCCCAAAGAAAATTAAAAAGCCGTGATTCACCGATTGGCACACTCGCTCACGCATGCACACGCCATCACCCTTCCCAAGCGTACAGAAAGTCAGGCATCACCTTTGTGTGATGCAGCTAGAACAGAGCTGGGCACATCTGGATGGGCCTGGAGTCCAAAAATGTAGAACTCCATGTTTGTTTGATCCCCAATGGTTGACTCCAGGTTTTCCCCAATTCTATCTTTCTTGCGACAGCCTTGAAGCAAAAAGGGATTTTTGGTTTCAACAAGCTATTTGATTTTTTTTTGGGGGGGGGGAATCAAAATAATGAAAGGTAGAGGGATTGAGCAGGCAAATGGTGGTTTCTCACCAAACAGTACCAATTTAGTTCACTTCTACTAGTGTTTGGAAGTTGGACAGTAAAGCCTTCCTTCTTCTCCCCCTGTACCAATCTGGTTGAAATGAAATTTAGTCCGTTTCTCCTGATACTTAGAAGTTGGAGAATTTATCCCCCTTCTTCTCCCCCTTTACCAGTCTGCTTGAAATGAAATTTAGTCAGTTTCTTCTGATACTTAGAAGTTGGACAATGCATCCTAGTTCTTTCTCCCCCTGTACCAGCCTGGTTGAAATAAACAGTGGACTTTTAACCACAGCTGTCCAACTTCCGTACCATAATCTTATCTCTTGTTTATTAGGACATCTGACCCACTTCAGGGTGCAAACAAACAAGACTTAGATTCAATGCAGTGCTTTTCAAAAAATACTTTTTGAAAAGTTTTTCAAAAACTTCAGGCCAAACCACGTTTTGCTAAACTGCTACATGCCTCAGTTAAAAGCAGAACAAACAAGAAACCCAAAATCAAACCAGAGAAATGCCTTCTCCAGGAAGCTGACCTCAAATACCCAAAGGGCATTTTGTCAAATGGAGTTTGTTGAGATGGCAAAGGAGCTTTTAAAATTTGCTTTAGGGTAAGAAATGGCAAGCGATGGCCACAGCTGAGCTTCAGCCAATAGACCAAGTGTGAACCATACCCTAACCATCCCCATGGGAGGGGGCAGTAAGCATTTATAAAAGTTTCATTTCCACTTCCTCTTAAGGGAGCCATCGACACTCATGCTGAAGCGGTGAGGAGTCCTCGACACTCACGCTGAAGCAGTGAGGAGTCCTCAACGCTCACACTGAAGTGGTGGAGTCCTTGACGCTCACGCTGAAGTGGTGAGGAGTCCTTGACGCTCACACTGAAGTAGTGAGGAGTCCTCAACACTCATGCTGAAGTGGTGAGGATCCGTCGACGCTCATGCTGAAGTGGTGAGGAGTCCTTGAGCTCACGCTGAAGCGGTGAGGAGCTATCGACACTCACGCTGAAGCGGTGAGGAAGTGACAATGAACCAAAGAATAACCGGGTGCCTAACTGATTTTAGGGAAAAGTTTTTTTAATATATATGTATAAAAAGGAAAGGTTTGCCATTTCAAAACAGTACCGCTACTTCTGTATTTGCCTACATTTTTCCCCTCCAAATTCTTATCCTTTTAATGTGGATGTGTAGCTTGGCCACCAGCTTCCAATCCTGTGTCGCTGTTGTGCTTTGCTCAAGATCACAAACCAGCGTTTCTCCATCTTGGCAACTTTTAAGTGGGGAGGACTTCAACTCCCAGAATTCCCCAGGCTGGGGGATTCTGGGAGTTGGAAATCCTTGCCGGTTGCCGAGGTTGAAAAACATTCGCCATCAATGCTCAATCACCCGAGCCCATTCACACTTACATATATATAAAACCAAAGAAAGAAGTCAGTACCTACAATGTATAAAACTGATGTGTGTGCTAAAAACGCACATAACCCGCTTTTTATTTCTGGTTTTTTTTTCCTTCCATACTTCAGTACCTGACCTGGATCCACAATTCTGACCTCATACTTTGAGAAGGAGAAAGACAACGCTGTTTAGTTACCAGGTTGAGACAGCCAAGAAGGCAGGAAAAGGAAGAGTTGGGAAAATGCACAAGATTGGTTTTCCTCCAGTGTCCTGTGGCCATTTCCACGCTCCTCCAAAAGAGAGGTCGAAGTTCCTGTCAGGTTCACTCTGGGCAAAATCATTGTCGGTCCCTCAGACGTTGCTTGTGCCTCTGGGGGTTGGTGAGAAGACCCATCTTTTTTTTTTTTTTTTTTTTAAACCAGACTTCCAAATCTTGTGGGGCAAGATCTAAGAGGTCAGTGAAGCGGAATTGTGGAGTTCTACCTCAGCTGTTATCTACCACAGCTTCTGAGGGAGTGTTGTCTAGATGCAACGGCCTAGCAGCGCGATTGTAGTACCGTCAAATGAGATTCTAATGGATTCCGTGATTGTTTGAAAGCAAGTTATCGCCAACCAACGTTATGTACAACTTGGGTTTCCTTTCTACTAAGCCACTTCAGGGTCTCCGAGGTCTACACCCCGATGGGAGAGCCACCTTTCAGGCTGGCACCTTCCCAAGAGATCCCTGGGACATGTGGAAGATTAAATCTGAGGTCTTCTGCAAGGAAACCTGGAGTGTTATTGGCCGAGCTAGAACTCCCTCTTAGAACGGCCCAAAAGCTAACCTACCATCAATATTACACTGGGATAGATAAGAAATGCAGGAGAAGAATGAGAAAAAAAAAGTTGAAATGAGAAGGCACCCTGTTACATTGAAGTACTGAACCATGGGTTGCGTTTCTCCTGTCCTTCCAGGCCTCCTGCCTTTCATAAGGCGACAGGGACACACAAATGAAGGACTGGAAGTAAAATACCTGCTAACTAAACCTGGGCATGCTTACTCGGGAGGCAAGAGGCACAGAAGCGATGAATCGAGATCGGCTTGGCTAGAAGTTGCAATCAACTCAACGTCTACAAGTTCTCGCCAAGATCTCTCGGTGGGAAGGGGGAGCGGAAGCACTAGGAGATACCATCCGTGTACCTTCCAATTCAATTCAATTCATTAGATTTATAGGCCGCCTAATCCCGGAGGACTCCAGATGTCCTCCTCAAAGATTCAAGCAGGACTACTACTGAGCGTATCCAGCTTCAACCCCTCTCCAAACAGGTCCAAATCCCAAACCCTAAATGTCAAAGAGGATCAATGGGGAAGCTTTCGCGAAGGTTGGTGAGGCCAACAAGTATTTTTTTTTCCTAAGTTATTTTCCTCACTTGTCTCCTGTTATAAGGCGTCGAATGAATCCTGCAGGATAAAGAAAGCTCAAAATCTCTAACTATGGAGAGCGAAAAGCAAAATGAAGAGAGAGAGAGAGAGAGAGAGAGAGAGAGAGAGAGAGAGAGAGAGAGAGAGAGAGAGAGAGAGANGAGAGAGAGAAAGAAAGAAAGAAAGAAAGAAAGAAAGAAAGAAAGAAAGAAAGAAAGAAAGAAAGAAAGAAAGAAAGAAAGAAAGAAAGAAAGGTGGACTGATTGGTCCAATCACAAATTTGTTCCCCCCCCCCTTGGAAAATTCAATTATCCCCACACCAACTCAGTCCCCCAAAAAACTCAATACCCCAAATTTATAATAGCAAAAAGTCAGGAGGGGAAAAGCCATATACAAGTCACTGAGCTGGCCCAGTTGAGTATTAAAACGTGTTACGGCGAAGCGACCAGATCCACCTGAACCCTTAATGCTTACTTCCAGGATGCAAACAAACACTTGGCCAACTCATGTAGTTTCTTCTTTACCACCAAGACTGGAAGCGGCGTGAAGATGATGACTTTATGGACGCCATTGCCTGCCTCTCCTTTCATTCATATTTCAAACGATGATAGTTTTGCACGCCGTTGAGAAATACCCAACAACCCAACTTCAAGTCTTCTGGACTGGGAAGATTAACCAAAGACCAGTAAAGCAGGAGAACCGACACGGACCAGCTGCACTCTGTGGCTGGAAGATCCTAACGCCCTGGCATTCCAGAAGTTTCTACACCGCCTGGTCTTTCTTCTCCATGATTTTACGATCCACTTCCTCCCTCCCTCCCAAAAATCTATCCATCATTTTTCCTCCACTTTAAAAAAAATAAAAGAAACCAAAGAAACTGGACGTCTTCTGCTCTCTTTTTTTCCCCACTGCCGGTAGAAAAACAAAGAAAAGCATTTCTTTACAACTTGATTCTTCTTCTTCTGAAGAGGGTAAGGTAAGAATGGAAGAGGACCGCCTAAGGCCAAGTTTTAAACTCAAAAGGAGAATCTGAAAAAGCCAGACACGGGAGGTTTTTTATTTCCGAACTTCAGTCCGTGAATCCAGCATTTCCTCCTCGTGCATCGGGCCGGACAAGCAGCTTGCCTGACATTGATTGCTGGCTGGCAGTTTAATGGGAGGGGAAATCTCTCGTTTTGATTGTGTTTCCTTTTTTCTTTTATTTATACAATGGTGTTTAGAGAACAGTGGCTGTGTTGGTTGCCAGCCAGGCTTTCCGAGAGCGTGCTTTCACTTAAAGGAGTGTCTGGTAGGACAAGGAGGGTGCTGCTGTCGGCAGAGTTTTCAAGGTCCATCGGGGACGGGCCGACGGAAGGAGGAAGAGAGTCGTCCGGGAGTGGTGGAGTCGTGTCGGCGTTCCCTAAGGACAGCTGAGCGGCAGGACCCATCTGAGAATGGAGCCCGTCTAGGAAGGAAAAACAAGGACAACATCAAGGCCCAAACAGTACTAGCAATCGCACTCCGATTTACCGTATTTTTCAGAGCATAAGACGTACCGGAATATAAGACGCAGCAAGGTTTTGAAGAGGCAATTTTTTTAAAAAAAGTTTTTGCACTCTGCAGATCTCCCCAAAACAGCCTGTTTTTCGCCAATATATATATATATATTTAAAGGGCAAGCATAGCTTTTAGGAAGCTTCTAGAGTGCTCCTGGGGGCTGAGGGGGACAAAATTGAGCAAAAAACAGCCAATTTTTTGCTCATTTTTGCTCAAAATTGGCTGTTTTGTTGCTCAATTTTGTCCCCCTCAGACCCCAGGTGCACTCTGGAAGCCTCCTAAAGGCTATGCATGGCCATTTGTGCAAAGGGGGCGGGGTTTTGAGGCAAAAAATGATGTATCCAGTATATAAGACACACCCAGATTTCCACCCTCTTTTTTGAGGGGGAAAGGGTGCGTCTTATACTCCGAAATATATACTGCTTCATAGTGCTTTTACAGTTAAGGAACGGGGTCGACTCAGGAGTAAAGGCACAGGTGGACGGTGAATGGCCCCTCCCATAGGGAATAAAGAGGAGCGAAGGGATTTTTGTCAGGACAAGGAGTCTCCTTCGTGATTTTGTGAAGCCTAGGTAATGATACCTGGTGGAGAACAAAGAATGTTGTCCGGGTTGATGGAAGCTTCATAAGGGGGCGGAGGGTCATCTGGATGTTGGATGTCTGGATATTTGTAGGCTGTGTAGGGCGGAGGAGGGTCGTGGAAGTGAAAGGCTCCACCTTCTCCGTCATCGGAAAGGTGCAGGGGTGTGAGTCCCGTTCCAAAGCCGTCTGGACCGTAATCGAAACCAGGCATCCGTCGGCCCAGGTTAAAATGATGCACTGTAAAAAGAGTTGCAATTTCATCGTTACAATTTCATTGTTTTGTTCAGGGATGAAATGCTAACGGTTTGGGCTGGTTCACCCGAAACTGTAATTTAGAAAATTCTACCGGTAGTTCCAACGATCAGCTGTGCAACTATCAGCTATGCCGTGCAACTTATATTTGCTAGAAATCACGCGGCACAGCTGATCATTGTATAGCTGATTGTTAGAACTTTTTTGTTTACTTTTTTTAGCATTTTTTTTTACCCCTGGTTAAAAACGCTTTAAAAAGTTTTTTTTTAAAGTTCCGTCGATCAGCTGTGCGGCACGATTTATATTCGCTAGAAAGCAGGAAATGCTGCTTTCTAGCGAATCTAAATCGCGCGGCAAAGCTGCTCCCCTGCCCTCGCTGTTGTACTTACCTTTGCAGACTCAGAAAAGACTTCTGTGCGCCTGCGCGCAAAGTGTGCATTTGGTGCATGCGTGCAATGTGTGTTTAGCGCGCGCACAGCAAACCATAGCAGGCTTCAGAATATTTTACCCTTGGTTTCGTTGATTCAGCAAAGCATCCAGTTCAGAGTGGAACTGTGAAGCTTTCGCTCTTTAGCTTTAAAACATGGCTAAAATTCTTCCTTTTCTTAGTTAGGATTTTAATCCTTAGATCCCTACGTCACCAGAAAACTGCACAGGATTAAGAAACAGAAGAGCTGGGACAGAAGCCGGATAACAAGACCTAAATACAAGTAGTCCTCGACTTACATCCCAAAATTTCTGTTGCTAAGTGAGAGAGGTGTTAAGGGAATTTTGACCCCGTTTTGCCACCTTTCTTGCCCCCATTGCTCAGTTAGTAACACGATTGTTACGTGAATCTGGCTTCCCAGTTGTTGTTGTTTTGGCATTGTTAATTATAGCCAGGTTTTTTATTGTTTATTTTGTACTCAACAAAATTAATAAATACATTATCTAAGATACAATAGGCTTTTTTTTTTCATTTCACCTATAAAAAAATGCTTTCCTGCAACATTTGCTGGAAAGGGAGTTTCTGTTGTGGCACACCAGCAGATCTGGCAGCAGATTCGGGCAGTGAGGAGGTTGGGGAGGAACGTGGGCCAGTCCTGGAGTCTGAGGAAGGCTCTGAGGAGGGCTCTGTGTCAGAGACAGAGAGGGGGCCATGGCCGTCTGACAGTTATCAGCTGTCTTCGGAGTCGGACAACAGTGAGGCAGACCAACAGCTGGAGCTCTTCCCAGTGTGCGCATGCACAGAGTTGCCAGACTCTGTGGGTCGACTTGGGAGTAAGGCCCAGGGGGATGAATGGCCCCTCCCATAGGGAATAAAGAGGAGCAAAAGGGGAGTGGAGTTTGCAGGAGACAATGAGTTCAACTCATTTGGCTGAAGATCTGTTCCTGACTTCTTGCCAAGGAATTGCTGCTACAGAGTTTGGAAGATATCGGCCTGGCAGCTCTCCAAGCCTGATAAGGTCTGTGGTTGTAAAATTCACCCTTGAAAAAACTGTTTGCCAGGACTTTGCTGGATGTGAATAAGAGGAATTCACATTCACTTAATTAAAAAGGGGTTTTGTTGGGACAAGGAGTCTGCTCCGTGATTTGGTGAAGCCTAGGTCAGAACAGTTTCTGGCTGTCGCAGCTCGTCTCCAACTTTTGAAAAAAAAAACAGCCGTGGGAAGTCCAAAATCTTTTAGTCGCCCAAAGTTTCCTTCAGAAAAAGTGAACCCGGACACTTACGGTTGGCTCCGATGAGAGATTCGATGCGCTCCCGGCGTCTCTGCCGCAGCCGGTGGACCATGAAGAGCAGGAGGGACAAAATGAGGAAAGAAGAGACGCAGCTGACGATGAGTCGCATGCCGCTGGCCATGGAATCGAACAAACTGTAGCCATCTGCAAGAGGGAAAGAGAACGTGGGAGAGGGGACTGTGATGGAGGACTAAAACATCTTGGATTTCACCCAATTGGAGAGGGAAGTTTTGTTTTTATGAAGGTGTTTACAATACTAATAGAACCGATTGGGTTGGAATACCAACAGAATTACCATATTTTTCGGACTACAAGACGGAGCAATGTAGGAAACGCACCAAGATTTCAAAGAGGTAAGCAAGGGAAAAAGATTTTGTCCTCCCTGGTCCCCCAGGAGCACTTCCTCCACTCCCAGGACTACTCTGCAGGTTTCAGCAGGGGTGGGGGAAGGCAACCCCCCCCCCATTTTTGCAAAACAAGTCAGGCAGAAAAGAGGCCGTTTTTTGCAAAAACAGGCATTTTTGCTGTCCCCCGGCCCTGCTGAAACCTGCAAGGGAATAGAGGGGGTAGAGGAAGGGAAAAACGTCTCCATTTTTCACAAAAATGGAGGCGTTTTTCGCCCATTTTTTGCAAACATGGGCGAACAGCCCATTTTTCACCCATGTTTCGCAAAAACAGGGGCATTTCCCCCTCTCCCCAGCCATGCTGAAGCCTGCAGAGTGCTTCTGGGAGTGGAGGAAGGGGAAAATGCCTCCGTTTTTCACAAAAACGGAGGCGGTTTTTGCCCATTTTTTGCAAACATGGGATCCGGGAGCAGGGCTTCGGGAGGCCAAAAATGGCTGTATTTAGTGTATAAGACACCACAACATTTCCACCCTCTTTTAGGGAGGTAAAAAGGTGCGTCTTATATTCCGAAAAATATGGTAGTTTTGTATTATGGTTGTTTTAGTTAGCCGTGTTATTCCTTTGTGTCCCGCCTTTATTCATTTTATAAATAACTCAAGAGGGTGAATATATCCACCCCACCTTCCCCCTATTTTCCCCACAACAGGTGAGATGAGTTGGACTGAGAGTGGGACTAGCCCAAAGTCACCCACCCGGTTTTTTGAAGCCTAAGGCTGGACTAGAATTCCCAGTCTCCTGGTGATTGGCCCAAAGTGACCCATCCAGTTTTCATGTCTAAGATTGGACTAGAGCTCACCTTCTCTTGATCATTGACCCAAAGTCACCCAAACAGCTTTCATGGCTAAGGCAGGACTAGAACTCCCAGTTCCTAGCTAGTGCCTTCATCATTAGATCAAACCAACTCACTTTTTATGTATATTTATTTATCCCGCCAGCCACGTGACCACGGAAGCATCTCCAGACAAGGCTGGCTCCCTCCGCATTAGTTTTATGGTTTTTTTTTAACTCCATATGTTTTCTTTATTTTAGTTTTTATAAATCACTAACACTTTGATTTTATCCCTCCTACACTGCTCTATAGGGGACGTGGTGGTTCTGTGGCTAAGACGTGAGCTTGTCGATCAGAAAGGTTGGCAGTTCGAATCCCTACCCCCATGTAACGGAGTGAGCTTCCAGCTTCTGAAAACCTAGTAGTTCGAAATCACGTAAAAAAGGCAAGTAGAAAAATAGGGACCACCTTTGGTGGAAGGGAATCGTTCCGTGTGCCTTCGGCCTTGAGTCATGCCAACCACCTGACCGTGGATCAGACAGCGCTGGCTCTTCGGCTTTGAAATGGAGACGAGCACCGCCCCCTAGAGTCGGGAACGACTAGCACATATGTGGAGGGGAACCTTTACCTTTACCTTACGCTAAGATTGGATTTGAGAGAAGCCAGACGTACCAGGATCTGAACAGGTGAATTTGCAGCATTCCTTGGGATCCTTTAGGTAATGCTGACAGCCCTGCGGCCGCTCGCACAAGGCCGCCACGCACATCTCCGGCTCGCCGTTGTGACATGTGCAACTTAAGCAGGGGTCATCCCCTTTCGGTGTGAAATTGTAGCCTTCGTCGACAATGTTGTCTTTGATATCCACGCAGGTCTGGCCTGGAACACGAATGGGGGGGGGGGGAAGAGCCATCTTTATTTTGCTAATTCTCTTCAGATGAGTTTGATCCAGCGGGTTTAACAATAGAGGGGGTCAGGGGGAGACTAACTTACTTCTCTTACAAAGAAAGGATGATTTTTCGTAGCAGTTCTCGGCATACCAGCTGTGAAAACCATGGTGCCGGAGAATTGGGAAGTGGGAGCACTGGAATTGGGCGCAGAGGATGTTTTCGTTTTCGGAGAGCGATGTACTAAAGGTAGGATTCGGGGGCAGGAATACCTCCGACGATCCTGAAACGACAAAACGGGAGGAAGAGAGGATGGGTCACGCTGTGTGGTTCCTTCAACCCACACAGTAGGAAAAACTCTTTTAACAAAAGCAAAAACAGACTGATCCAGGCTGCTTTGATTCGACTTCTCGCTTTCCTCACTGTGGGCTAGAATCACAGGTAGAGGTGGGGGGCTTTTGTAAGGAGCAAAGAAGCAACTCAGCCTGGAATCTGTTCTGATCGAGGCTTCACGAGAGCCTGAAGCAAACTCCTTGTCCCGACAAAAAACTATTTTATTAACTGACTGTGAATTCTGCTCATTCACATCCAGCAAAGTCTTTCGAGGGAGGATTTATAGTCACAGACCTTACCTGGCTTGGAGAGCTGCCAGGCCGATCTCTGCAGAACTTGGCAAGGAGCCTTGGAGAGTCAGGAACCAATGAAGCGAACTAATGGTCTCCTGCAAACTCCACTCCCTTTTCGCTCCTCTTTTATTTCCTCTGGGAGGGGCCATTCACCGTCCCGCTGTAGCCTTACTCCCAAGTCGATCCCTTTGTTCCTTAGCTGCTCCCTTTGTCTGGCCACTCTGCACATGCACACACTGGGAACAGGCTCCAGCTGTTCCTCTGCCTCACTGATG